ATCTCTACTGAATTCGTTCTTAGCCTGCTTTTTAGGGAATGTACTGCTGCCCTGCTGCAGGTATGAATTAGCCTGTGGTAGCTCAAACAGGGCGAGCTACAGCTACCCGCTGTTTTTCACTACTCTTCCTCGGAAGCCGTTGGACTTATCTCAGATTTCTTTCGGACTACACTCATTATCCTTGCTAACGAGAGGGTATAAAGAGATGATGATCAAAGTGCAACCAAGGCAGCCTTCACCACCCAGTACTCGCTAGGCTTACCTCCTTGTTAGTGGTAGAAACAGCCACCTCTGCTGCGCTTCATTAGTGCCTCTTCTGCCCTCCTCTTTGCAGGGGTAATGACTGTACAAACCCGCTTTCCTCAAAAAAGTCAGTTATAATTCTCTCACTGTATCATTCACGCAGTGTCGCGATGACACGCTACAACGCGCGTCGAAGCACTACAATTACACCGCGACAGCAGCCGCAGTTGGCCAGTGCCGATCGATATCTGCGAGACTACCCAGCGCCCATCGATTCGCAGACGAGAGTCAACCAGCGCAGCCGTTTATGCGGTCGCACTAGCGTCTATACCTTTGCAGCGCTGTGTTAAAAACGCGTCGCGCGCGCTGCAACGCATTACAGCGCGCTGTTGAGCGCTACATTACGTCAGAGCACCTTGGCGCGTTACTGCGAAATCTTAGCGCTGCCGCGCATCTGCATTCTAGGTCCTAAGGATGGGAAAGTGAGGCTGCGTATATCATTTGAACATGACGCAGGGTCCCTCTTTATAAGATATTTCCTTGAGACAACTATCATCCATCTTGGGCTGAACAAAACGGCTGTATCCAATTCAAAGCGCAGCTGCCACAATGCAGTCGCACGCTTACTTCGAAGACCGCGACGCCATCTTCGTTTCGTCTGCGAAATGACGATTGGACAAAATTAAGCGGGGGACTTGGACAAAATTAAGCGGGGGACACCTTTCGAGACATTTAACTCTCGGAAGATCCCGAAGCGGATGTAGTTTTATCGAACCGATAGAACCTATATAAGACAAGCAATCACCGGAGACACAGCAAACGCGTCAATGTTAACGCCTTTCTCGGTAACTTTCTTACAGTTACCTTACATTAGGTCGTAGGGAAGGAGAGAAAGAGATCTGAGCACATTTCTTGGTGGGGAGTCCATCCCTTTCAACTCTTCGATAAATACTATTCAAACACAGTTACACTTTGAAAAAGATCAAGGCGCATCCGATCGAATGAATTTCATTCTAGCAGGATGGTCGCTCACCAGACGGGTCTTCCAGAACTTCGCCGGAATCGTCGTCTTCCGGAATTTCGCGCGAATCGTCGCCTTCCGGAATTTCGCGCGAATCGTCGCCTTCCGGAATTTCGCGGGAATCGTCGTCTTCCGGAATTTCGCGGGAATCGTCGTCTCCGGAATTTCGCGGGAATCGTCGTCTTCCGGAATTTCGCGGGAATCGTCGTCTCCCGGAATTTCGCGGGAATCGTCGTCTCCCGGAATTTCGCGGGAATCGTCGTCTTCCGGAATTTCGCGGGAATCGTCGTCTCCCGGAATTTCGCGGGAATCGTTGTCTCCCGGAGTTTCGCGGGAATCGTCGTTTCCAGAATTTGGCAGTCATCGTCGTCTTCCAGAATTTCGCGGGGATCGTCGTCTTCCAGAATTACGCAGTCATCGTCGTCTTCCAAATTTCGCGCGAATCGTCGCCTTCCGGGATTTCGCGCGAATCGTCGCCTTCCGGGATTTCGCGCGAATCGTCGCCTTCCGGGATTTCGCGCGAATCGTCGCCTTCCGGGATTTCGCGCGAATCGTCGTCTTCCAGAATTACGCAGTCATCGTCGTCTTCCAGAATTCGCAGTCATCGTCGTCTTCCGGGATTTCGCGCGAATCGTCGCCTTCCGGGATTTCGCGCGAATCGTCGCCTTCGGGATTTCGCGCGAATCTTCGCCTTCGGGATTTCGCGCGAATCGTCGCCTTCCGGGATTTCGCGCGAATCGTTCGCCTTCCGGGATTTCGCGCGAATCTTCGCCTTCGGGATTTCGCGCGAATCGTCGCCTTCCGGGATTTCGCGCGAATCGTCGCCTTCCGGGATTTCGCAGTCATCTTCGTCTTCCAGAGTTTCGCCGTCATCTTCGTCTTCCAGAATTTCGCAGGAATCGTCTATCATGTGAGGGCTGTCACCAGAGTCATCGTTGTAGAGTTTCAGTAGTGTGAACGAATCGATCACTGATTGCCTCAAGTCTGCGATTTCTTTCTTGATTTGCTCGTTGGCTTCACGCACCTCCTGCAGTTGTCGTCTTCCGACTCGACGGACTGCAAATATTTCGAATACAAGTCATGTTTCTCATAGCTTACATCAGAGACCAGTCATACACTCCTTATCCCTGAGCCAGAGTAGGCGTGGCATTTGAACATGGCACGGAACTGGTTACTCGTGGAATATTCCAGTCTGGGACAACTGTCATCTTGTTCTGTGTTGGACAGAGACACGACAACAATTGTGTCAAGAAAATATCTCACCAGAAGCATAGACACCTTCAGGTTAAGTTGAAACATGCGGCCACGCCTACCCGATCTCAGGGATTTCAAGTTTATTGAGAATTGATCCAACATTACCTTACAAATGTTACAAGTTACTTACAAGCAAGTTCAGATCACCTTGTATTAGGCTTGATTGTATCTTTGGAACGATGCTTTCACAAATTCGAGGAGCAGCCGAACGCGATGGGCCCTTTTTAAGGTTTCTCACATAATTTTGCTCTGCTGCGACGGAACCAAGCATCTTCCCCCCACCCCCCCCCCAACATCTTGTGGAAAACAGACGGGCAGCGCGCTTAACCCAGTCTTCCTGACTCCACCATCCCTGGCAAACAAGACTGTATATCGGTAATCCAGAGTAACGACAAGGATGGCGAAAGAGGCTTCCCCGAATGTGTCTTTGCTCCCAAACTCAATATCAACGTAGCTGGGGAGAAATTCTGCTCGTCTGCGCGGATGCTGTGACTCGAGATCGATATACTCTGTCAAAAAAGCTCCTGCAGTCCTTATACGAAATCAGCGATGCAAGGGTTGTCCTAGTGGGCGAGTCATTTACAGTTAATATCGTCGCAATCAGTCAGGACGGTTTCATGAGGTGCGGAGTGGGCCCACCCGCAGCGTTTCCACCACTAGTTGTTTTTTTCCCTGAACCAACCACAGCCGAGCATCATGGGTAAAGCAAGGTAGCCGGAGGCGGGCCCATTCCACCCCTTGCTGACAAAGGATGGATTGCGACGCTGTCACTATACGACCTTCAGGTCTAGTTAGATAGGAAAGGTGCAGCTCGTGATAACAGGAGCAGTTATGAGTTCAACCGGCTGCCAGCTTTACAGAACGTTGTAAACTCTGATAACGTAAAAATAAAAAAAACTCACAACGGGTGAAAAATTTCAAAGGATCATGTGGTTTTTGCCTTGCCGCTGCAAGCACCAGCGCGTCGTACAGCCGCAATTGAGGTTCATTGAAAATCTGAAATTTTACGTTTCCCTTCATACGGACTATTACAGGCCTCGGCTGCATACTTCATGCTTTGCAGCAGCGTGCACCAGCGTTTCGAGCGTCCGTCAGCGTCGTAACTAGGAAAGTATAGATATCGATCTAGAGTCTACAGCGTCCACCAGCGGCCACGAATGGAGAGTATGTGGAAGTAAGGCTGCGTTTATACTTTGCGGCAGCGTAGCGTAGCGCTTCCAGCGTACGCCAGCGGCAGTGTCGGGGAAAGGATAGATATCGATCTAGCGTTCCCAGCGTCACCAGCGTACGCTAGCGGCACGCTAGCGCACGCTGGCGTAGCGAGGGCACGGGAAGCATAGCTATCGATCTAGCTTCACCAGCGTTTCTCCAGCGTTTTCCCAGCGCTTGCAGCGACGGGGCTAGAGAGGGGCTAGAGAGTATTGAAGGGAGGAGAGTATTTTGTACTCTCCTACTTTCAATACTCTCTAGCCCCGCTAGCGCTTGCAGCGACGGGGCTAGAGAGTATTGAAAGTAGGAGAGTACAAAATACTCTCCTCCCTTCAATACTCTCTAGCCCCTCTCTAGCCCCGTCGCTGCAAGCGCTGGGAAAACGCTGGTGAAGCTAGATCGATAGCTATGCTTCCCGTGCCCTCGCTACGCCAGCGTGCGCTAGCGGCGCTAGCGTACGCTGGTGACGCTGGGAACGCTAGATCGATATCTATCCTTTCCCCGACACTGCCGCTGGCGTACGCTGGAAGCGCTACGCTACGCTGCCGCAAAGTATAAACGCAGCCTAAGAGGGAAGCAGATGGCTGGTAGAGTATGGGCAATAAGATGAAGGAGGCAGTCGTATTAAGCGTGGTGAAACCGCGGCGTGTGCAACCGCTCCGCACTACTACTGTCCTCATCATTAGGTACTGTCGGGGCGGCACAGCCGCGCTGCACTGTGACGCGACAGCGGCTGCGGCTCGGTGACGGTGAATCAGCTGATTTCGATGGAATTCGGCTGCAAATTCCTACTTTTTCAGCTCTTCAAGCTTCTAAAGTGGAAGGTGAGTTATTCTGAACAATTTTGAATTGTACTGGCTCTGATTTCCTTTATTTTTATGTCGATTATTATGCTCTTTTCCTTGTATTTTGCCTTATTTCAGGCATTTATTCAAATGGCTTGCATTCTTTCAGATTCATTCAGAGTCAGTACAATTTAAAATTGCTCAGAATAACTCACCTTCCACTTTCGAAGCTTGAAGAGTTGAAAAAGTGGGAATTCGCAGCCGAATTCCATGGAAATCAGCTGATTCGCCGTCACCGAGCCGCAGCCGCTGTCGCGTCACATTGCAGCGCGGCTGTGCCGTCCGACAGTCCGTAATGATGAGGACTGTACACAACCCGTACTCCTGGACGCTGGCGGATGCCAGATCGATATTCATACTTTTAATGTACCTCAAGACGCTAATGGTCGCTGGTGAACGCAGCCTCAGAGCAACTAGGTTGAGTATGTTTACCAGATAAAAGTACAGATAAGATAGATTTCGCAGGTATTGCTGAATTTCGTATACTGACGACTCCTATTGTGCGTAAGAAGATGGAGGATTAAAGCTGAATCATTAGAACTCACGATTTCATCGTAGCGTTCGTCAACAACACACAAACTTCCATCGTCGAGCTTTACTAGTGGCTCGGTCAAGTTGAGACGGTAATAGAAGGTCAGCTGGATTGCAAGACTATTTAAAATCTGTATATTCATGCAAAAGAGTGAAAATCTGACAATTTTAAAGAGTTACTCGAGTGTTATTTTATGGCACGAAGTAAAGAAAAACCTACGGGCTTTTCAAGCTCATCAACGAAGTGCAAGCGAATCCTACAGCGGAGCTCTTCCTTTCCCCTCTCAGTTATTTCGTACGGCGGCTTCTCGAGGACTGAATTAAAACAAAGTTGTTATTTATAGAATGGTCAGATTTTTTTTTCTTCAGTATCATTATAGGGCATCTAACAAGTATACCAGCAATGGCAGAATGTTAGACCAATAAGAACGCACCTCGCTTGTAGGCAGTGAAACTTTGTGGTAGTTTGATCGTTACTTTTGAGAGTATCAATGACAAATCTTCAGTGTAGTAAGGACATATAAACAGCGTCCATTCATGTGTATTTCCAGCATCATCCGGGCAGTCGAGCACCTTAGCCACATTGCCGTACACGATCGGCTTGACGAAACGTTGGCCTCTTGCGCGATACTCTTCGATTTTTGGAATTTCCATTTTTAACCCTGAAATATAACTCTAAAAACTGAGAGATTATTGTGTATGGAAAGAATGCGATCTACTGTTCGCTGTCACGCTGCCCATGGTAGCGCTGCTATTTTTTTTACAGTTTTTCGTGTCGGGACCACCCCCACAGTGAGGAGTGCGCCCGGCTCGATCAATGTGTTGTCTGGATGGACCGTTGACACTTGCTGATGCACTAGGGGATGTCCGTCTACCGCCCTACTGGGACGACTTGTTTAGTTTAAAGATGAAAACCGCTCGAGGGACATTCCACTATATTTTCCCAACACTAGTGCTCCGGGTAGGTAACGTCACTCTTCGTTCTGAGCTGCTCTAGCTTGTCAGTTCGAGCTCATGCTCTAGCTTGTCAGTTCGAGCTGATACATGTGCACAGAATGAACTTCTACGATGTCAGCTGGAATATGCAGCCATAGGGGAGGGGGCTGGCAGGTGGCGCGCTCTCCGGGAAATTAGCGCGGGTGCTCGTTACTACCAGATATCTGTATTCCGCATTTGGACAGTAGAAAGGGCTCAGTTTTACTCATAAAACTTCAACCTCCATATACCAGTATGACTTAACTGGCTGCCTCCTATCTATGAGATGGGAATTCAATTGGATTCATCCTCCTTGTTGTACGAGAACTTCGCTCGGTGCTCTACGCGCCCGCAACCCCTGGGGCGTAATAGTAATGATTAGAGAAACTGAAAATGAAGGAAAATAAACACATGGTAAGCTACCCGGAAGGCACTTCGTAAGGCCGTGGAAAAACAACTGCGCTGTGATCAATGACGCCACCCAGTAGGATCGTGGCGGGACCTACCTTACGCTGCAGACCTTTAAAGGACACGGTAGCAGCAACGAAGGTCGCTCTGTGCAGTCGCCTACCGCCTGTGAAATAGCCAGCGCAATCCTGGCACAACCCAACTTCATTTGGCCTGATCTATTTGTAAGATGAAATAGCCCTTAAAACTTGAGGGCCAGGATGCTTGTCCCTTGAACGATATGAACAGTTCAAGAGACTTGAAAATTACAGGTAAAATGACCAGACTACCAGATTCTGTATTCCGCATTGAGATACTAGAAAGGGCTCAGTATTACTCATAAAACTTCAACCTCCATATACCAGTATGACTTAACTGGCTGCCTCCCATCTATGAGATGGGAATTCAATTGGATTCATCCTCCTTGTTGTACGAGAACTTCGCTCGGTGCTCTACGCGCCCGCAACCCCTGAGCGTAATAGTAATGATTAGAGAAACTGAAAATGAAGGAAAATAAACACATGGTAAGCTACCCGGAAGGCACTTCGTAAGGCCGTGGAAAAACAACTGCGCTGTGATCAATGACGCCACCCAGTAGGATCGTGGCGGGACCTACCTTACGCTGCAGACCTTTAAAGGACACGGTAGCAGCAACGAAGGTCGCTCTGTGCAGTCGCCTACCGCCTGTGAAATAGCCAGCGCAATCCTGGCACAACCAACTTCATTTGGCCTGATCTATTTGTAAGATGAAATAGCCCTTAAAACTTGAGGGCCAGGATGCTTTCCCTTGAACGATATGAACAGTTTAAGAGACTTGAAAATTACAGGTCCCATATTGTACCACCCATCTATGTAACATTGCTGTATTTACGTAGCTTCCTATTTTGATTTAGGCATATTCTATTTATTTATTGCCTGCACTCATAGATGTGCTGTTGCCCCTGTTCTCATCACTGGTAGCAAAGGCATACAGTTGTTTTTGCTGCAGACGCTGAGGCGTGTCAGGGGCTGGGTTTGGCGTGGTAAGAGCCTGCCCTCCACCCGTTGTCGAAGCGGGTAAGCGACAAAAAAAGGGGAGTGCGTGCTCGCCCCCCCCCCCTTAACAAACCCTTTATTGCCGCGCTGAGGTGGGGGGGGGAGGGTGTGAAACATCCCTGATCCATTTTCAGAAATATAGTTTCGCCGCGTTGTGCGAAAAGGGGTATATACCAGGGAGTGTTACTTCCCAACCACGGCATCGCGAGACCCGCGACCCCTGGAAGATATCGCTCCGTTTCCCCTCGTTCAGGCTTAGGAGAGTGCGAACGACCACGGCCGTAGCGAAATAATGTCGCCTCCGTGAGAGAGAAAACTCACAGGTGGCTCGCGCGGCGCATGTCGGGCGATTTCGCGGTTATGGTGCGCCGAAGTGCTAGACATTGACATGGGCTGCCACCACGCCTTTAGTCTATAGCGGCAGGGTGCGCATTTACAAATTGACCGGTAAACGCGACGGTATCTGCTTTTTTATGAAATGTTCCAATCGAACTCGGAACAACTTTCCAGCTGCTTTCCATGTCACAGTGCTGTTAATTCAACTGGATTCATCTTCTTTGTTGTATGAGAACCTCGCTCGGTGCTCTACGCGACCGCAACCCCTGGGGCGTAATAGTAATGATTAGAGAAACTGAAAATGAAGGAAAATAAACACATGGTAACCTACCCGGAAGGCCGTGGAAGAACAACTGCGCTGTGATCAATGACGCCACCCAGTAGGATCGTGGCGGGACCTACCTTACGCTGCAGACCTTTAAAGGACACGGTAGCAGCAACGAAGGTTGCTCTGTGCAGTCGCCTATCGCCTGTGAAATAGCCAGCGCAATCCTGGCACAACCAACTTCATTTGGCCTGATCTATTTGTAAGATGAAATAGCCCTTAAAACTTGAGGGCCAGGATGCTTTCCCTTGAACGATATGAACAGTTGAGAAGATCTTTGGATATTCCATCTTCTTCAAGTACTCAACGCCCCTTCATTCCAAGTAGGAAGAGTTTTTCCAATACCCTTCGATTCCATGTGGTGTCACTCAATCCTGTAGCAGTACAAAGTTTCCAAAAAATACCGGCAACGACATGTGGGGAGCATATTCTTCTAGAACTGCTCAATGTAATCGCCAGCACTCACCTTCAGTCCGGGGTCCACGAAGAAAATATCGGTCTTCCATTCTAGGGTTACGCCGTTCTACTATCAACGGCCGCGCCCTTATGGCGACTGGCGGTGAAGAGCGATGCCTAGACGCGTAGCGGCCTTGGTCGGATGCTTCATCGATGTTTTGGAAGTCCTTCTAAGATCGAGAGTCACTGGTGCTTCTCTTCCCTATCCGTGGGTGACTCCATTCAAGAAGTTTCGCAGTTGTTTGGAGGTGATGTGAATTCCAAAGGTCTTCTCCAGTCAGGCTGCGACTGGAGATGACTTCATATTTTGGTGTACATGAAGGTGATGGGCGAGAGCCAGCTCCTGCTTATCGAGAAATCTTGGGTATGTTCGGCCCTGATACTCGTATCCACGTCGCTGTCTGGGCTGCGAAAACTTTGCTGATATGTGACTCGGGTCGAAGTGACTTTTTTTGGCTTCCCCTATATATAGTTTCTCAATTTTAGCTTTGGTCACGATGCTCTCCACTGATAAGTAATTAGGATGGCCGTTGGACCGTCCGATTCAAGGAGCATATGGAATTACTGTCCCACATGGTCGAATCGCTGACCTTTGGACGAGAATAATGTCGACGTGCCCGTTCGATTTGACACGGCTGATGTCATGAGGGTTTCGTTCCGAGCTCGTTCCTTTCAAAAATAAAGTATACCTAGGAATACGTTGACACGTTGTTGATTCAAGATGCGTTCTAATACTGCATGAATGAGAAGTTTCGCTCAGCTTCCTGACTGGTGACATCTTGCTCGAAGCCGTGCACATGCTGATGTAGAGGCCGCCACTGTCAACAGCATGTATGGTGCAGGCAACTTTCTTTGAGCAGTAGTTTTGGCACACGATTAAGCTACACGCCACTACATTATTCTAAGGACAGCGGTGCACAGAGCGTACGCCAGTGAGCCTCTGCACACACGATGTTCAAAAAAATAGCTATCGCGCTGCCACGCCAACATGAAAGGAATTCCACGTGACTAGCCATTCGCATTTGTGCTTGTATTTTGGCGCTTTTTTGACGACAGATACAGACTATGTTTATCAACAAGTAAGTAGGTAGCAAATAAACAGCGAAAAACTTTCTTCTTCTCTGAAAAGCCTTTTTTCTCGGCCCACCCCACATGTGAAGAGGCTTGGGCGTAGAGTCGGAAACTCATGGCACAGAATCTCCATCGCCAGCATCTTACGTGAGTGTCTCTAATTGCATGTTAGCAGTAGCGGGAAGTTAGGTTCCGTTCTGAAAACGGTAAGGATGGCCACATGATATCAGCGTGTAAAGTGATTTGCCCACGGGCTTCATATCGAATGATGAAGCTCAAATCAGAGTAACCTTTTGTGTTTAACGACTGCAAGCGTCTGAATGTAGCTCCGCTGATCATAGCATTCTCGTCTTGTGATAAGTACCTGTTCTGTATAGATGGTACTTCTAGATTTCTCGTTGGGGAAGAATTCGGAATTTCGTGCGTACCTTCAATTTCGAACAATGTTGTCCGAACTCTTATCCAACCAGAATTGTGAGAGGGCTCTGCAATAAGAAGGGAGGATCGTGAGCAGACCAACTTGTATTTACTTGTGTATACCGCTTTTACTTGTATACACGACAACCCCTTTATCTGCACCCCGTGTTTCACGCATTCTACTTCCAGGTTATCGAGATGATGTTCCAAATGACGTTCAAAGAGCGATCCAATGGATGGAGCGTGGAACGGAGGATCTAGACAAAGTTCCGAGAAAACGGGGAACCAGCCGGCCAACCTTCCCCATTTATTATTATTCGGAGGCTTCAGCTGATAAAGTATGGTATTTGCTCCTGTAGTCTTGTTGTTCTTTCGTGTGTTGGCTATTGCTTGTAGATAAAGTTATATTGCATTGTATTCCGTGTGTAAGCGGCAAGCGTCTGAAAAGCCAACCCTATAAGCATCAGAAAAGGGACGGAAGGAGGGCAGACGTCCAAACATCCCGTGAACTCGTTTCCGAAACTGCTCTCCCTAGAGTTCATGGAAGCTGAAAAAAAATTAGCATACACAGCTTCGACTCCGAGAAAATCAGAGAATACAGTGGAAGTTAGCGACTGGACACTTCGTCTCTAAACCGGCCACTGCTCTCGTTCCGCTTCAGTTAGAAGACATCGTAAATGAGCCGACATGAGCTGCGTATGAGGGTATGACTACGGCTGTGTTCACCATCTTTGTAATGTGTTCACAGCCATGTGGATAAAAATTAAAGATAAAAAGCTGTGCTAATTGTCTACTGATCAATCATCAGTAAGGCTGTGTTTATACTCTGCGGTAGCGTAGCGTAGCGCCAGCGCAGCGCAGCGTAGCGCTTCCAGCGTACGCCAGCGGCAGTGTCGGGGAAAGGATAGATATCGATCTAGCGTTCCCAGCGTCACCAGCGTACGCTAGCGTAGCGAGGGCACGGGAAGCATAGCTATCGATCTAGCGCTCCCAGCGTTTCACTAGCGTTCGCTAGCGCTTGCAGCGACGGGGCTAGAGAGGGGCTAGAGAGTATAGAAGAGCAGGAGAGTATTTTGTACTCTCCTACTCTTCTATACTCTCTACACCCTCGGTGCAAGCGCTAGCGAAACGCTAGAAAGCTGGGAGCGCTAGATCGATAGCTATGCTTCCCGTGCCCTCGCTACGGCAGCGGGCACTGGCATAACGCTAGCGTACGCTGGAAGCGCTGCGCTACGCTGCCGCAAAGTATAAACGCAGCTTAAAGCGCCGCTGGTCTAGTGCCAGTCCTCAAGCGTCACTTTCCGTACCACTTTTGTGATTGGAGCGCGTTTCTCAAAGATAGTTCCAGCAGATTCGATCCAAATAGCATCTCACTGTCAAAGCCCTCTCTTCAAAACAAAGATCGTTTCTCTCATAGAGATCGTAGTGGCTTGAGCAGTAGCTTTTTAAGATAGCAGTTTGTTAATAGCGTTAAAGTTAACTATGCATCGCAATGAGTCGGTATGAATAGTGACACGAACGCGCCTTCTATAACCACTGGTAATTTTTTTCGTGAGTTGATCACTAGCCGGTCACCACTGGTAGAGCAAAGCAGCCGGGCCAATCCCGCTCTTCTCACGCCGGCCCCCATTGATTGATGTTACGAACTGTATGTGAGAAAAGCAACTATTTTTCTGTTATTTTGTTTTTCGTAGGTTTTAATTCCTACTGTTTATCTTATTCCATCAGACAGATGGGCTCATACTGCGAATTTCCCAAAAACTTTATATTACGGCAGTGAAAACACATTATAAAATGCTACGAGAACTGAACGACAATTACAGAAAAAAAACGAATTAGCGGAGATCGCTTTCAGGTCGATAAAGCAGAACCAACTTCAGTTCAGAAGAGCACAGCTTTCCTAGAATTATGCAGACGTCTTTTTGAGAAGAGTCACAAGACCACCAACGTGAAGCCTTAGCAGCTTACGCTGTTACAGTAAGGATAACTTGTGCTTTGGAAGACAATTACACAGTTTGAGAGCAAAAGGAAAAAGAAAAAAGCGAAAAAAAGAATGTGCTCACTCACTCCGTATTTGTAACTTGAAACACCAACAACAATTCACCGACACCGTGAATAGCGGAACATTGCAGCAGACAACTCTCATCTTCCACTGCGAGAATAGCATTTTCGTTGAATTTCAAGGGATGCGAAGTACAAGCAAATATGTAGTATCTCTACTGAATTCGTTCTTAGCCTGCTTTTTAGGGAATGTACTGCTGCCCTGCTGCAGGTATGAATTAGCCTGTGGTAGCTCAAACAGGGCGAGCTACAGCTACCCGCTGTTTTTCACTACTCTTCCTCGGAAGCCGTTGGACTTATCTCAGATTTCTTTCGGACTACACTCATTATCCTTGCTAACGAGAGGGTGTAAGAGATGATGATCAAAGTGCAACCAAGGCAGCCTTCACCACCCAGTACTCGCTAGGCTTACCTCCTTGTTAGTGGTAGAAACAGCCACCTCTGCTGCGCTTCATTAGTGCCTCTTCTGCCCTCCTCTTTGCAGGGGTAATGACTGTACAAACCCGCTTTCTCAAAAAAGTCAGTTATAATTCTCTCACTGTATTGTTTCACGCAGTGTCGCGACGACACGCTATAACGCGCGTCGAAGCACTACAATTACACCGCGACAGCAGCCGCAGTTGGCCAGTGCCGATCGATATCTGCGAGACTACCCAGCGCCCATCGATTCGCAGACGAGAGTCAACCAGCGCAGCCGTTTATGCGGTCGCACTAGCTAGCGTCTATACTTTGACGCGGGGCTGTGTGTTAAAACGCGTTCGCGCGCGCGCGCTGCAACGCATTACAGCGCGCTGTTGAGCGCTACATTACGTCAGAGCACCTTGGCGCGTTACTGCGAAATCTTAGCGCTGCCGCGCATCTGCATTCTAGGTCCTAAGGATGGGAAAGTGAGGCTGCGTATATCATTTGAACATGACGCAGGGTCCCTCTTTATAAGATATTTCCTTTGAGACAACTATGCATTCCCTGCTTGGAGTTGAACAAAACGGCCTGTATCCAATTCAAGGCGCAGCTGCCACAATGCAGTCGCACGCTTACTTCGAAGACCGCGACGCCATCTTCGTTTCGTCTGCGAAATGACGATTGGACAAAATTAAGCGGGCCCGTGACTTGGGCAAATTAAGCGGGGGACACCTTTCGAGACATTTAACTCTCGGAAGATCCCGAAGCGGATGTAGTTTTATCGAACCGATAGAACCTATATAAGACAAGCAATCACCGGAGACACAGCAAACGCGTCAATGTTAACGCCTTTCTCGGTAACTTTCTTACAGTTACCTTACATTAGGTCGTAGGGAAGGAGAGAAAGAGATCTGAGCACATTTCTTGGGGGGAGTCGGCATCCCCCTTCTGAACTTCTTCGAAAAATACTATTCAATCACAGTTACACTTTGAAAAAGATCAAGGCGCATCCGATCGAATGAATTTCATTCTAGCAGGATGGTCGCTCACCAGACGGGTCTTCCAGAACTTCGCCGGAATCGTCGTCTTCCGGAATTTCGCGCGACTCGTCGCCTTCCGGAATTTCGCGCGAATCGTCGCCTTCCGGAATTTCGCGGGATGCGTCGTCTCGCGGGAATTTTCGCGGAATCGTCGCCTCCTGGAATTTCGCGACGGGAATGCGTCGTTTCCGGAATTTCGCGGGAATGCGTTTGTCTGCCGGAGTTTCCGCGGGAATCGCTTTGTTCCGGAATTTCGAGGGGATGTCGGTCTTCCAGTAACGCGGGGAATCGGTTGTGCTCCCGGAATTTCGCGGGAGTCGTTGTCTCCCGGAGTTTCGCGGGAATCGTCGTTCTCCAGAATTTGGCAGTCATCGTCGTCTTCCAGAATTTCGCGGGGATCGTCGTCTTCCAGAATTACGCAGTCATCGTCGTCTTCTAAAGTTTCACGAGAATCGCTCGCCTCGCGGATGTCGCCGGCGTAATCGTCCTTCGCCTTCCGGGTTTCGCGCGAACCGTCACCTTCCGGGATTTCGCGCGAATCGTCCCCTTCCGGGATTTCGCGGGAGTCGTCGTCTTCCAGAATTACGCAGTCATCGTCGTCTTCCAGAATTACGCAGTCATCGTCGTCTTCCGGGATGTCGCGCGAATCGTTGC